TGCCATCTCATTCTGTGAACTTGATATCTGAACTACAGAAGTGTGTGGCTGCAACGAAAACGTGATTTCCAGTGGCAAACTGAAACAGACAGCCTTACTAATAATTTTTGTGCGTACGCCTCAGCGATATTGTTGATCACAGTGTTGACTAGTGGATAAATAAAACAACCAGTCTGGAAACCAGATAGGTCACCATTCTTAACAAAATCGTTTTGATTCATGTGTATAAATGAAGCAAGAAAGTTATGTGATTATGAGCAAAACATTTTCCTCGAAACTTGGTCATCAGTAAATATTACTGTATAACACTGTGAAATTTCATCAAAATAAAATTTTATCCATAATGGAATTATACTCTATCACAGTGTCCAAGTTTTATCCTTATATCTAAATGGCCTTGAGTTTATGAATAATTTAGTTTTATAAACTGTCAGATCCACAGACTTTTGCATTCATAGACACTATTCTAAGTGAGAGTCAATCAGCAGATCTACTGGATGGATAAACACCAACAACTGTGAAATGAGGACAGGTATTCCAACTTCATTCAGAATTGATCTAATATAGCAGTATTGGGTTAAAGGCAAAATATATTTTCATTTTATTTCTAATGATGGAACGGTAGGAAGAGTCTTATGAAGCAGTTACAGCAAAACAGTAGAGAGATCGTCATTAAATCCAGTAACTTTTAACAAAAATCATAATATGTATGTGTGCGTGTGTCAGCTGTAACATCTTATAAAGTCAGAAATGGTCATTATCAATAAAAGATGAAATAATTGACCAAAAAAGGTTAGATAGTCAACTACATTTGTGTAGCAGAGTATTTACGTATGTGTTTATGTGTAAATGTGTATTTATGTATTTCACTACAACAAGATTATGCGCACAGTGACTAGTTGTATGCTTTATTTCTCATATATGTTTAGTCTTCATTATCAGCAAAACTATCGCAGTTATCGATCAGCTGAATATACACTCAAACTAGTGGATTACTGACAAAACTGTTTCATAAAATATCTTCTAAAAGTTCATTTTTGATGATTAGAATTTACAGTGAAAAGATCTTAGAGAACAAAAATGCCTTCAGTTATGTCACCAGTAAATATACGGAGAATACCAAAAACTAATCAATACAAGTGTATCAACAAAAAACATTCACTCTAGTAAATCGTATAGTACATGAAATGTAAAGATATTGATCTGGGCCAACTAGTCTGGTTCATAGTGTTAATTCTAGTATTTAATGAGACCAGTCATCTGAGTGCCACAAGACTAAATAACAAAGTCTGAAGAAAGAATCTGATTATGGAATTCTGATTTCAGCAACTTCATGGTTTACACTAATCGGTCATGTTGTATAAACGTCATTTGGTATTTATTAATTTCAGTTATCATAGGTTGAAGCATGATATCCACCTACTCATAAAATATAAATGCTCATGTATGCATTGTGCAACACCTTATTATGTAACAGTTTGCTACACGTGACTGAAGAAAAGACAGGATGTTTTCAACTGTGTGTATTTGTGTTCTACTACCTATCTTAAGAGAAACGTCAGAGTAGATAGTAATACGGTTGGAGCAGGACAGAAAGTTAGTCAATTTTGAAAGTGAAATACATGTCAAGCATACCAGACATCAATCTCCCTTTATAATTAGTGTTAGCTGAAATATAATTAGGTAGTAAACTTATGTGTGGTCAGAGAAAGATATGGCACTTATTCATGAGGTCACTAACTGTAACCCTAGTAGGTTTTGAGAATGCTGACAGTCTCTGATTGGATGCCACTGATGGCATACCTTAAAATCATGCACTCACTTTCCCAGATTCTGAAAGTTCTTATTAATCTTTATTTAATCAGTGTTTTAGTTAAATCCGTGTTTATTTATTAGAATTTCTCAGCTGTTATAGACTTTTCAAAGTATGACAATATCTTCTCAGTTTTCTGCATTGATTAGTCAGTTAGTCAGCCAGCGTTTAGTATTCAGTGTTGGTCGAGTTCTGTTAGGTCAAGTCTACCTTAAATACTAAGAAACATGATACCACTTGCTCCATAGTGACTGATCGGGTCACTTAACATGAAGGGCATTCGCGACCAAGATAGCTTGTCGAAAATGTTATTAAATGTCTAGCTGGATGAATCAGGTTCGTATTTCTCAGAAAACGTCAGGTTCCTGAGAGTTAAAAGTTAGCTATGTCGATTGTTTCCACTAAGCAGGAGGCTGAATCAAGGAGCATAGATCCTATCATATCCACCAGTTTCAAATACGTCTTTTCAGACCTGTTGTTTTCATTGATTAGAAGCTAAGACAGATTTTTACTATTCCATACAATATTAGTAAATTCAATGAATTTCAAACCTTTGATTGCCGAAGGAGTGTTGAAAACATATTCTCAGTAAAAACACAAAACTTATTAAAGATGATAATTAATACACACGTTATTCATAACAAATGTACTAAGAAATACCATATATGTTTGAGATTTTTATGTGACTGGGTCCCAGAGTGTATCTTCTAATTGGTTACACTTGAAATTAAGTGTGTAAAGATGACCTTTCAAGATATGCTAAAGCAACAACAATCAACTAGATCAATGTGATTCAGTTAAAAAGCGGTCACTTTTTCGGAATGAAGCTAAAATTTATAGAAATAAAGTCAGAGTGGAGGTCAGGGTACTGGTTTTAAGAACGTCTTTAACCTTTGTCAAAAATGGCAGTTTTATTGGTCTGTGAGTTTCATCGATAAAATTAGAGCATTGAAGTCAGTCATTAAAGGGAAGTGAAGCTCTGGAGCATTGGTACAGTCATTCAGCTTTCAGCACAGTCACTTTTTAGAACTCCACTCCCTCTCCTCAAATTTTGCAAACAAGTAGTATTTTAAGTCCTCAAATTACACACCTGACACATTGTCAGATACACACAAATAGAATCATTTGTTGAATAACATTTCTTCTCCTCATTCAAATGGAATGTTTACCAATTATAAAGGGATATCATAACAGCATTCTGAAAGTCCTTAAAACACTTAATAATTGAAGCGTCAAAAACGTTCATGATTCATTAAGCATCAATTATTATGTAACCACCTCCTACTAACATTGTAATGAAACCATATTTCAATTTGAATTTTATTCCTACAGTATACTGTAAGTGTAAAACAGAAAACGCAGCATAATCTGATGAATACTAATTGAGTAACTTATGTATTGGTGGGGTGTCGTCCTTCACCACACATTCTTCTTCTACTTGAAACGTGTAAAGTCAACAATGGAGAATATAGATGAGTAATTTATTGCAGTTGAGTGGGTGAACAGTATTAATACAAAGTTTGCACAAAATAAATTAACCAAAATAATAATCAAAATTGATTATTAGAAGAACATTATTTTGTTAGACAAATAATAATATCTTTCTGAAGATTTCACTCTAAAAATATTATTATATAATATCGTGTTGTAGTAAGGACGATGAAGATGTACTTCACCGGCCATGAATTAAGATCGATTACTTCCTCATTTCATTTCATTTTGAGTAGATAGACATACCGTCAAGCATAAACCAAAGTATCTTTGCAATAACGGAGATTCACAATGCTTGCAGTGTTTTTCGACTCGCAATGATCCATGATCTATCATGGAGTATTCTAAAGAACTCACTTCATATTAAAATAAGAGCTGGAAAAGTTGTCTAGAGGGATAATAAAAGCTTTGCGATTAAAATATTCGGCTTAGAGAACAAAACATAACAAAGCTATATTTCTCATGAAGTTATTCTCCACATCATACACACTCCTTTCGCTGAATTCGCTGAAGAATCAGATTTCACCAGTTAAAGTGTTTGAGTTTTCAACCACTAAAAGTTCGATTTACGTCTAATCACCTTTTATTGTATGAAGAGTTTACTCGTTTGCTTAGTTTGTAAGATGTTGAATGAATTAGAAAGGGATAGTTCCTCATTTAATTTCCAGTTTTATTCCAATTACATGAATTTGGTAATACTATCGATTGTACCAAACAGTGTTCCTAGAGTTGCGTTCATCATCTGTTTGTCAAAAACTGTCTGCAAGACACTGAGGTAGTGTTTAACTGTTCAAACCTTGATATTTAAACTTTTACCCTACTTGTCAATGTTTAAGTGATTTCACTGATAAAAGACAAATAGTTGAAGTTTCCGACCTACGGAGCAGTAAATTAACTCTTTTTTACTAACTGGAAATTAATTTTGAATATGCTTGTATAGTGCATAAGTAAATGTTTACTTTATTATCATCAGCAGATAGTGATGTTCAATATCCATTTCCAATGGAATAAAAAGGTTACTGTCTTTTGTTTTCCTGATTATCATTTTACAGCGTCTTTATAAAATCAATAATAATCGATACTGAGTAAAGTAGAGGGTAATATATAAAGTGTTACTAGTCAGTCGACATGAAGTATTTGTGAAATTATTTTTGATGCTCATCCATGTAAGATATCCGCAAACGTGAAAAGTCGTATTCCCTTTTCCATCTGTATCACTGACTGTCCAAATCGGATACTTTTTCTAACGTATAAAGTTGCATTTTGTATGCGAGTTGGCCTTGGATAATGTTTCAAGTAAATGTTTACTACACAAAAGTTACGGTCCAGTGGCATGAACGTTGTGCGGTGGATGGCTTAGTGGTTAGATCTCTGGATAAGTAACGAAGATTCCAGTCGTGGACAGAACTTTCGTTCGATTTCAACTGCCAATACACCTTGTTGGCAAGTGCTAAAAAACATGAAATCTAGTTCCAGGACTTCTCACTCTTCTTCACATCAAGCATCAAATGACAGGGCGTTACACTTTCGTGTTGATAGCTGAGTAACGACATTGTACACCTGATCAGATAATTTCATTAAAACACTTAGGATTGAACATCTACACAGGTCACTATCAGAAAACTAATTTACATACAGTCAAACATGCCCACGGATAAAACTGTCATGTAATAATAGTAATAATACATACACTTACCCTGGATCATTTAAATCTGCGCTAGATTCGATCACAAGTGATGTTTGTCGTTTAGTTAGCGCTAATTTTGTATAGGATTCAGTTAGGCTTTCTGTTGTTATTGTTGAGGTAGTTTCCGGGCAAAGAGCTTCACCATTACTACTACTTGTTGCACTTGTCCCATTGCTGTTCATATCACCGACTGCTGAATCATCAGATGGGCTAGCGCTTGGTTTTGGGCGACTGACAGTCATTTTATCTTGTGTTTTTTTTAGATTTAAGCTATTACTAATTTCCAAGAATACTAGTTGCAGCTGTAATATATATATGTATAGTATATGTATATGTGTAAATGTAATTTTAGGATTTACAAAATTCCAAAACTTCAATGTAGTAGGAGAACTGTTAATGATAATGACGGCGAAATAAATTAAATCTATTTACACGACAATTACAAGCATGGAATAACTACTTCACTAAATGGTAAACACTACGAAGCAACTAACACGCTGTAACTAGTGCGTATTATGATAGATGGCTTAAAAATAGTCTTGGTTTTTTAAGTCAATCGAAATGATGTTATTGTATTAGAGGCTAATTGTAGCCAATCACTAGACAGGAATTTTATTAAAGGTCAAGAATTCTAAAATATTACTGGTTTGTAAAATTTATAGGTTAACCAAATACGCCATCATAATTGACCAATCATAATAAACAGGTCAAATATTTGGGCTTAACATTACGATTGATGAAATCTAGGAACTCGCAATTAAAAAATAGTGGTGATATCGCACCTTTAAAATTTAAGTTGAATAAACACTTAAATTAAAATTCAAGACTCACTATATAAAAAAAATTGAGAAATCTCCCAATAATGGTATTTGGTCGTCACACTGGTTACATAAGACTAGGGTTACTACTACATATTCACAATGAAAAAAATCAGTAAGATGGAAATAGAATTAATTTATATATTGTTACACCATGTTCACCATTAGAAATAGAAATGTCAACGATAAAGTTATATAATGCAATTCTTGAACCATTTGTTTCTTGATCGTCTCGAAGTGCTTTGAACTTCTCTTTGTAGTGAATAGATAGCGCACCTCTAAAATTTCATGTGTGATAGTGTGCTGGAAAAATAACGACATATTCTAATGAAAAAAATATGTACCTATCTTGCGTAACGAAAGATTATTTTGCTGATTACACATATCTTTGCTTGCGGATCCATGTTCTAAGGTGCAGCTTACCATTTTGTGACTTGCTAAAGTATGTCCTTATCCTCAAATTATTTGAATCCTATCTAAACCATTAATTATTTTTGTTATTTTACTTCTTTGCTTTCCGAGTGGAACATAAGGCTTTAAACATCAGCTTTAAAGTTTCATTAGCAGTAGTGTTTATTTTTTATGAGGTGGGGTTGCCAGCCTCACACCCAACCCTCCTTCTTAGCCACGCTTGCTACCAGCTAAGCAAAGTTTAGCAGTGCATTGTCCAGAGACCAGACACCAGACCATCTGTATGGTTACCGATTATCCTACCGCTGAACCAAAAAAATTTAGCTTAGGATCATTTGTAGTTAGTATCAGATTTCGAAAGAGGTCATACCATATTTTAGCAGTTTTTTATTTAACTGGAAACAGTTTCCTTGACTTCAGATTTCTTCTTCTTCATCTGAAAGCAACATACATCAAGTAAAAATTCATTTAGTGATATTCACCAATTAGGCTAGACAAATATTATGTAGTACGTTTCTCAAAAGAGACGTATTCCCTCTTCATAAATTTAACATATAAGTGGAAGTTTCAAGACAGACCGCTAAATGAGCTCAGTTAGGGAACCGTTGACAACCAGGGAGTTTCCTGTTTCCTGCAGTCGTCTTTAGCAGACTCCACGACTGCCCATAAACACTCATCTCCTCTTCACACGATTTCTTCCATGGCGAGTTCAAACTTCCAGACTTATTTCAGAGTAATGAAGATCTGTCTTCTCTTTCCGATCTTGGGTTTGGCATCTTCATTCATGTCGTCTGTGCTTGAAATGATGCTACCTGCAGAAGTCAAAGGGATGACTTCTTCCAGATTTCTTCCATTAATGATTGATGCCTAGTGTTGTAGGTTAAATGGCTAAATCAACTCTGTCTTCTCTAAGTCTCAGTTGAAGAACTGTCTTCACCATTTCTTTGGCCAATTTGTTGGTTTTCACTTGTAGGTCTTCGGGTTTCTGTGACATTAAACATTAATCATCCATCAAGTCAAAATACTCTATAGTTTTCTAATCGACTCAACGTATTATTACCTTTTTGCTCCTCATGGCCTGTTGCATGGTCCAGTCCAACACAGTCAGGAATATCATCGGGGACAGTAGGCAGACTTGTCTTACTGTTATCTTCATTTCAAAAGTTTTGCCGAGATTTTCGCTGTGAATCACTTGACATGTGACGCTAATTAAATTTACAGTGTGATCATATATCTAGGGGATGTGATACTGTGCTAGACACTGTGAATGTTGCAGGTTTTTTTTGAAAGTCGATGAAGTTGTGGAACAGATATTACTGTCATTATGTGATCTTTTCTATGATGATGCATAGCGCTGCGATTCGGCCCTTTAATGACTTGCTCTTCTTGAATCCGGCTTGTTACAGGCAGAGTAATGCATCCAGAGCATTTTTGAGTCTCTTCAGGATGACAGGAATTGGTATTTTGCTTGGCGCGGACAAGAGCATGATTCTGTGGCAGTTCTTGCAGAGACCTAATTCGTCGTTCTTTGAAAGTTTGACAAGGTCGCCTTTCTTCCAATCGGTAAATGCCTTTCCATCCTTCGAAGCTTTTCATCATAGTAGTGGGGTGAGGATAAGCGCTGAGGCTTGTAGATCCGTTTGCGGTGCTTGCTGAAGAACCACGTCTGGTCCTGCCGCCTTCCTGGATTTCAGTAGCTTTATAACGTTCAGAACGTCTGCTCCTGCTGAGGGACTGGTTTCTACCAGCAGTTCTTTGCGTGCTGTCGGTGGTATTACTAGGAAAGCTGCAGGTGACAGTCAGTTTAAGCGTCATTTGAAGTAATCAGCCCATTTATTTCCTTTGCTTCTCCTCTTTGGTAACTCGGTTCCCTTCATTACATTTCATTGGTTGATTTCATTGTGTCGGTTTCTTTCCTGACAGTGACCTGGTTACGTGATATTATATTGTGAGGTCTCTTTTACCTGTGGCCTGTTGTGCTTGGACAAACAGTGTGTCATAGAATTGACCTCTGTCTTTTTCACCACTCTTCTTCACTTCTTTATTCAGTTCATTGCAGATTGAATTCAGATTCTCCTTTCGCTGTCCATCCTTGAACTGGTTTACCTTCTGTTTCCTTATTCATCTCTACTCTTTTGGCTTTCATGTATCCGTAGACAGCCATTCATTGCCTTGCGTATTCTATTTTCCGAAGACAAATATACACATTTCCTTCAACATCACTTTCAAGAAGTCCCACTGTTTCTTCATACAGGTTTTTTCGGTTATGTTTCATAATTTTTCCTACTTTGTTCTGATGGCTGCAGTGGATGTGTTCTCCGTAGTTTCATCGTTCAGTTTCTGAGTGTTGTGACTGAACCATAGTCTGTTTCCAATTGCTTTGAAGGCTTTCAACCTGATCTTGAAGGTTCTTTGGTCTGAGCCCACATCTGCTTCCCTTCTCGACTTTTTGTCCAGAAGACTGTGTCTCCATTTTTGGGATTGCAATCAAGTCTATAAGATTTTCGGTGTATCCATCAGGTAGAATTCATGGTGACTTGTGAATATCCTAATGCTTGTACACACTGCCTGCAATTTCCAAATGACTGAATGCATAGAAGTCTGTGAAGATTTCTCCGTTTTCATACATTTCCCGGAGCGACAGTCTCTCGACCCATGATGAATTCTCCTCGTATATTATCTGTTCCCGGTTTAGCGTCCATATCTTTCATAGGGATTTTGATATCGCCATTTGAGATCTTATTCGTTACTGTTTGCAGTTATCTGCAGAATTCTTCCTTCTCTTGTTCCAAGCTGTTTGTAGGCTCATACCATTGGATGATCACAACTTTCCTACCTTTCAAATCAGATCTTACCATAATTTGCTCAATAAGGTTGGTTCCTATCGTGTCAGAGCTTTGACTGCTGTTCGTGACATCGTGATGACAACTCCCTTCGTGTTCTCTTGATTGTCATATGTGTGGCTGGAGTAGATTACTGACTTTGCTGTTAACAATTTGGAAAGTTCACCTCTATTCCACCTGCTGTCACAGATTCCGAGCACTTCTATACCATATCTCAGCATCTATTTGGCAATCTGAGAAACTTTCCCAGCTTCCAGCATGGTATGGATATTCCATATCCCTATCTTTACTTTTGCTTCTGTCAAAAGAATACACATTGGCCAGCCGGCTTCCCCATACCTTTCAGCAGCTCGTGTCATTAGAGTTTCTCCAATTGCGACAAAAGATTAGTTCATTTTTGTTGTGTTTTCTGTGCTTTGAAGTTCCTGGGGCGATTGAGTAGCATCACTAGCCCATGCATTTCTGGCTTAGAACCGACTGGTAAAGTAGTATACCAGTAAGTTAGGTGAGATTAGGTCCTAACTTAGTCCACATTTTAAATATGAATATCAAAGAGGGAGAAAAATAGAGTTTATACATGTTAAACCATAGAAGACTTCATAGAATCGGTTGCCTCTGACAGACGCATTCACTGAAGAGTAATGAAGTTAGGTTGGGTTTTGGAGAAAGAATATAAGTCGTCGGGTTGTAGTTTAGGCCAAAAGAGTTGACGAATATATGTTAAGCACGGCATGGTATTATCCACCCTGAGGTTAGAATTAAGACCATGAAACCATTTGGTGAAATTACTAAATGTTGATTTGGTTGCCTGAACGAAGGTCAGAAAACACTCAAAATCATCGGAAGAAAAATGATGCAACTTGTCTTAATGTGGTATTTGGCGGAACTTTATTTATAAAACGAAGAGCTGTATTTTTGGGGCTTATTTTTACTTGTATTACATCACTGTTCTTTTCTTCACATTAAGGTTTCTCCATATTTTTTTCTTTTTCCAGTAATGTTTTGATATTAGAATGAATTAACTTGAAACTTTGAACCAATCTGGGTCGATGTCCTTTTTTCAAAAGCTATTGTATTCTAAACCAACTTTTTAAAGCAGTCATGTATTGGTCATAGTCTCATTTTAAAAACTATTATT